TGCTACTTCTGCTTCTGCAGTATATAGTTTGCAGCGTGCAATACAGCCAAAGGGATCGTTAGGTGTTGGTTTGTCGGGGAATTTTTCATTCTTTGCCAGTCTGCCTCGCTATTTTGTGACTCTTTTTTCTCCTCTGCTTTTACCTGTAATTGTACTATATCAAAATTTATGTTAGAACATATCATTTCCTGAACTCTAACTCTAATCACAATTGCTTTTTGAAAAAATACAAAGACTACAAGGCGTAGTTGAGGGTAAAGATCTGTGGTCTACAATTCCATAACAGTGCTTTCCTATTTCAAGGTTTGGTGTTAAAAATATTTTTAGTAAAAGAATGAAAACTGTTTTGGCCAGCTATGTTAACATTTTATACTAATGCTAAAATTAGTTCAGCTTAGTTTGGTTGGCCACCGAAACCGTCCCGAATCGAACCAAACAAGAAATACCGAAACGTATCGAATTACTTTGGTACGGTATTTGGTATATACAATTGATATATCGGATACCGAATATCGAACCGTAATTCTTAAATACCGTACCGAACGCCCACCCCTAGTCCATGCCATAAGCGTGAGCTCGGGTGACCGACCCCGAATTTCTCAAAATTTTGCGGGCCCATCAAAAACGACTTAATGAATAATAATCATTACCGTTCCACTTTTTTGGCGTATTAGGGCCATAAAATAGGAATTTGGGGCGATTCTCATATTTTCGTGTGCTATAGTTCACGTCAGCTGCGTGAATTCGGGAGACAGGCCCCGAAACTCCTAAAATTTTGCGAGCCCATCAAAAATAACCTAATGAACAATAGTCATAGCTTACCCATAATCGTTCTTCGTTTTTTAGGTTTTAGGATCATAACACAAGAATTCAGGACGATTTCCAGATTTTCTTGTACTATAGTCCACTTTATCTGCATGAACTCGGACGACCGATCAAGAATCTCCTAAAATTTTGCGTGCCCATAAAATACTAACTAAGGAACTATACATATTTCTAATTCTGAATATGCCAGTTAGCTATTGAACCTAACAAACCGTTCTAAACTGTTTTTAAAATTCAAATGACTGTAACTTTTCAATCGTAAAATCAAATCTTTAAATACGTAAATTGATTGGGTTGGATTACGTAGTATCCGGACTTTACACCCCCATATAATAAGTGGCTGAAAAACCTACCCTTTTGTTATTTCTCGGGCTCCGCACATCCGCCTCTTTTAAGTAAAATATAACTAACAATAAATTTAGTATAATCTCACAAAGCAAGGTTTGGGAATCTTAGAGTATACTCAAACTTTACCTTTACCTTGTAAGTTATAGAATCTGTTTCTGATAGACCTCCGGCTCAAGATAAAAGTGAAAAGAAAACAGAAGTAACAACAACAAAATAAGGTGGTAAGGTGACCGGGTGATAGAATAATCGAAGCGAAAGAATAGCAAAAGAAATCTACCGATCAGAAGATATCAAAATAGGAGACAAAGAAACGACTATCTACTAAGATATTTAAGATATATTTGACTTTCAAATTTTCTTCTACAATTTGACTTTCATGTCTCCTTCCACATATCTTGGATTTCTCGAAACCTAACATGTCGATTAAATTCATCAACCCTACACGCCAAACTCACCAAACAATTAATCTTCCTAGTTTCTTTACGCGGAATTTTGCCGTTTTCTAGTTTCAACAACATACATATATTTAGATTTGTGTTTTGGTTTCTTCAATTCGCAGTGCGTCGTTGAATTCTCTTCTTCTTCTTTTTAGGCTTATAGTTGAATTTTATACTTCCTTTTTCCCGTTTATATTATATTCCTTGTGAAATATTCCTATGCTGATAAGGTGATATCACAATAAACAATAGAGGTTATAATATTGCGCAAATATAGTAAAAATACCTTTTTTGTGTTGATCCCTTTACACATGGTGATCTTTCTAGCGTAGCGGCAAATGCAAAGGTGATTAAAATTTTGTTTTAGGTCATAGGTTTAACTTTGAGTTAGTCATTTGTGCATTTTATTGAATTCCCTCGTTGGATTCTTTGGCTCCAGGGTACATTAATTTTTTCTTGTGCTCAAGTTTCCGGATCAACAAAAACACTTTTCTCTATTTCTTTTAGTCATTCTCTCGTTTGATTATAATTAAGGATGGAAGTATACCAGCAGCAGTACAGGCGACTACTTGACCGCCTAGATGAAAACGGAGATGGGAAAATATCAGCATCAGAGTTGCAACAATGTGTACATTTGATTGGCAAAGATATGTCATATGACGAAGCAAAGGCTGCGGTTGCAGCCCATGACTCGGACGATGATGGCTTATTGGATTTCGATGATTTTGTCAGATTAGTAGAAGATGGGACCGAAGAAGAGAAGGCGCGCGAGTTGAAGGAGGCATTTCGGATGTATGAAATGGAGGGATGTGGATGCATTACTCCGGAGAGTTTACAGAGAATGCTCGATAGATTAGGGGAGTCGAGAACTATTGACGAGTGCAGAGGAATGATTGCGAGATATGATATTAATGGCGATGGTTTACTGAATTTTGATGAGTTTGTGATCATGATGCATTGCTAGACATGAGTTTGTAGTGGGTTGCTCTGGTGGTGAGCACCCTCCACTTCCAACCAATAAGTTCTGAGTTCGAGTCACACCAAATGCAAGGTGCGGAGCTCTTGGAGGGAGGAAATAAAAAAAAAATCCGCTTTGGGGTGACAGGGGTTTTTGGCTAGACATTAGTTATATGTCAAGTTGTTTGTGATTGTGATCTTGTTCTCCTTGTTTAGGCCTTGTACTTACGCTTCGTTAACAATTTGTATTGGTAAATGAAGGCACATTCTTTCTGTATAATTTATTTGAATTATCACTTACTCATTGTGCATCAGATATCTATATATGCATATCTCCATATTTAATTTCTAGAGTGGCTATTCATTGACGCATGCAAGGCATTTCTTTTCAATTACAAGTTCATACTATAGAGAGTTTGTTGATTTTTGCTCTTTCTCAATCTCCTCTTCTTGATTATTACTCAGTTTTTATTTTTATTTTTTTCTACTAGTTTATTTGAAAAGCCAAAGGCGCAAAAGTAATTTAAGTTCAGTTTACAGGGTAAAGACGTACGCTTAAGTTTGTTTAACGAAATTAGACCCTCTTTTCATATTTGTTAAGTCAAATACTTAATTCACTAAAAATGCTTAAGTTAAAAGGATTATATATCTTCCTTTTATCGAGTACATAAGTTCAAGTGAAATTGGCAAATCAAGAAAAGATACAAATGAGAAGAAATAATAAAGTTTTATAGTATTAATAAGCAGGGGCGGAGCCACAGTGTTGGCTGCGGGTTCGGCCGAACCGAGTAACTTTTGTTCTAACCCTATATTTGTATTAAGAAATTCAATGAATATGTACAAATTATTGATTTAGAACTCATTAACTTAAAAGGATTATAATCTCGAACTCATAAGGTTCAAATCCTAGCTCCGCCTCTGTTAATAAATTGCTAGTCATTGTTTTTCTCTGTTCTCTCCACCCTACACCTTATATGTAGTTTTTAAATTTTTTCAGATACCAATCTGAAATTTTGTTCGCATACCCAACAAAGGACGTTTATGAATATTAATTATAAGAATTGAGAATATGGTGGAAATATTACAAGTATGTAGGTGAACTTAACCTGTTGATTATATTGACTAATCTATCCTTTTGACTATGACTAAGGACCTGTTAGTCCATATATTATTTTCCTTTTTTCGGAAATTTTTTCAAAAGTGTGTCCATTAAAATTTGTAACTCTTTGGAGATTTTTTGAAAATGAGTTTTTCAAAAACCAAAACCACCTTTTTAAGTATTCCAGAAAAAAGATTTTTTTTCCCACTCATAAAACTGTAATATTTTTTCAAGTGAAATATATGTCCAAACATAATTTCAAATTTCAAATACCAATTTTTAACTTTACTCCAAATACTACTTTCTTCAAAAGTATTTTTATGTCCAAACGCCTACTAAATAGTTTGCCAAGTATAAGCTTATTAGCTTCAAGTGGAGTTAGAGTGAGCTGGTGCATGCTAAGTATTTCTGGTCTGAAATTACCTGCTTCTGATCTGTTATTGGTAGTAATTAATTATACTTTCAGCAGACAGCAGTAGTGTCGAAGTTGAAGGCTAATGCTGCAAGTTTCACCTTATCAAAAGGAAGTTTTGTGGCAATTCTACGAGGTGAATATCTTGGATTTGTACAATAGGCGTCTATAAAGGGGAAAATGTTCTGACTATAGAGTCGAGTCTTGGATGCTGCAATTCTTGTAGTATATTTTTGAGTAGTAATCCTTACTTCAAAAGCTGGCAACCCCTAAATTATACATCTCGGAGTTGGAGTATTTTTTTTTTTATGTTTATATAGTAACAGACATGCCCTTCAGCAACATACTCAGTATAATCTCACAATTGCGATCTAGGAAAGATAGTGTGTACGCAGACCTTACCCCTACCTGGCGAGGTAGAGAGATTATTTCCGATAGATCCTCGGCTCAAGAAAAGGTGAAAAGAGAGAAAAGGGAAAAAGACAAAGGAGAAATAGGAAGAAGAAAGAAAGAAGAGGGAGACAAAGAACGATAAGGAAAAAAGGCGAAAAAGACAACAACAACAATAAAAATAACAAGTAAAAGAAAATGTAGCATCAAATAGTAACATTCAGGAAAATACGATACACGAAGCGAATGAAACAATAGGCAAATACTAGAGGTAAAAGAATATGAAAAAACAAGAGCGCTACTAATACTACTAAAAAAGAACGGGGAACTTTTGACTACCTACTAGCCTTTTACCCTAATTCTCGACCTCCACACCCTTCTATCCTGGGTCATGTCCTCAGTGAGCTGAAGTAGCATCATGTCTTGCCTAATCACCTTTTTCTAATACTTCTTTGGACTACCTCTACCTCTTCCGAGACCCACCATGGCCAACATCTCACACCTCCTAACAGTAGCATTTGTACTCCTCCTCTTCACTGCTCGAACCATCTCAACCTCAACTCTTACATCTTGTCCTCCATGGGGGCCACTCCCACTTTATCCCGAATAACTTCGTTCCTAAGCTTATCTCTCATGGTATTCCCACACATGCATCTCAGCATCCTCATTTATGCTACTTCCATCCTCTTAACATGGAAATTCTCGACTGGCCAACACTCAGCTCCATACAACATAGTAGGTCTAACCACCACTCTGTAAAACTTACCCTTAAATTTTGATAGCACCTTCTTATCACACAAAACACCGAATGCATGCCTCTATTTTATCCACCCCGCACTAATACAGTGGGAGACCTCATTGTCAATCTCCCTGTTACCTTGGATTATTGACCCGAGATACTTGAAACTACTCCTCCTGGGGATTACTAGGGTATATACTAAGCTTCACATCCACATACGCTTCATGAGTCTTGTTACTAAACTTACACTCCAAGTATTCTGTTTTGGTCCTACTCAACTTGAAACCTTTAGACTATAAGGTCTGTCTCTAGACCTCCAGCCTCACTTTAACCCCGTCTCTCGTCTCATCAATCAGCACTATGTCATCGGCAAATAACATGCATCATGGCACTTCCCCTTGAATGTGTCGCGTCAACACATCCATCGCCAAGGCAAATAGAAACGGGCTAAGAGCCGATCGCTGGTGCAACCCCATCACTACTGGAAAGTGATCCGAGTCACCTCCACCCGAGTCTTAGCACCATCATACATATCATTGATCACCCTAGTGTATGTTACCGGAACGCCGCTAACCTCCAAACATCTCCACATGACCTCCCTCTGGACTTTATCGTACGCCTTTTCTAGGTCTATATACAAATACCATATGTAAGTCCTTCTTTCTCTTCCTATACTGCTCTACTAATCTCGTAACAGAAAATGCCCTTGAAAAGGTTAATCTTATATTAACCTGTTTACCCAAAAAATGGATAACAGTTGAATTTATACGCGGTTCTAAGGATACGTAGTATAACTTGGTACAAATTGAGAAAATATATAAATGAATATCGAAATTAACTGTAAAAGAAATGAATGCAAATCGAATGAATTAATTACCCTAGGCTTTCAAGTTTGATCACCCTCAAATTGAATGGAGAGTAACGAATACAAGGGCAAAGTGACTCAATATCAAAACCAGAAGAAAAGGCAGTATATTGCTTTATATTCTATGAATCTAAATCTGTATGTGTCTGCGAATGTGAATGTATATGTCTCCCCCCTTGAAAATGATCAGACCCCCCTTTATATAGTAGGGAAGTCCTATTCTTAATATTATTTTTTAAATACAACAAGAAATCTCATGATAGATTAATTAATTGGCCTCTCATTGATATGCGCCGTAATTTTCGCCAAGATTCTCGCCCAATTATGGATATTCCGGCTTTCTGTATTTTGGCTCGATAAGCTTTCCTTGATCTCGTGACATCCAAAATCCATAAAGGTCGTAATCGCGCCGGACACCACTGTCAGGTTAGCCAACAATAAGTACTTAATTGGGTTCTCATTTTGTTACTTTTGAAAACATATTCTTCCTTCAATTTAAATCATAAAATATGAAGTTTACAAGATAAATAATAATATCATTAAAATTTCCAATACAGCACAACCCATAATCCTCCAAAAATCCAGTGTCACAAGTGCATGAGCATTTAACTAGGAATGTAAAATAAAATACAACAGTTATCCGGAATACAAATTTGGACAGGAAAAATGTAAGTACTCTGAGGGAGACTCTGCTGGCTGCGGATCGTCGTATAGAATGCAGCTCACCTAAGTCCCCGCCATAATCGCGCCTCTGCACCCACAAGGCCGCCAAACATATGTGTACCTGCATAAAACTGTACAGCAAGTGTAGCATGAGTACGTAAATCAACGTGTACCCAGTAAGTATCTCGCCTAACCCCGAAGAGGTAGTGACGAGGGATTGACTTAGACACTTACTATGGGGCTATAAATAAATGGAATAATATCATTAAATTAGACATGGATTAATTAATACGGTTGTAAGCCCATTATTCTGAATTAAGTAAACAGTTCTTTCATAATTAAGGAATCTCCAAATTTTATCTCTCATTATTTAACGATTATATCTCCGGCCCACGAGGCCATATCAAATTATCAGTTTATCTTAGATCCATACTATTAAGAAAATCTTTTATAACCAGACTCATAGAAATCTTCTCTTTATTTGCTTCTCCGGAAAAATTGCATATTCATCTTTTGTTTTTGTCCAGATGAATAATCAAAATAAATGTGGTGTTAATCCAGACTACTTTCACGACTATTTGGAATAAATCGCTTCGTCATTTTTCTTCATGACAAACGACTTTCACTTCTTTCTTGTTCTTTTTCCTGGTATCAACTGCTCCCTCCTCTGTTTCAATTTATGTGAACTCATTTGACTGGGCACAGAGTTTTTGAACTTGTGGTTTAAAATGAGACACATATATTTTGTGTGGCTATAAATCATTGTATAAAGGTAAATTGTTTTCAAATAAGGAAAATGATCATTCTTTTTGGCACAGACTAAAAAGAAAATAGGCTCACATAAATTGAAACGGATGGAATATTAAAGTAAATTCCTTAAGATTGTTGGTAATCTTTGTTTGAAATCATAAAATTAGAGGAAAAGGAAACATTAGTTCAATAAACAAATCGTAAAATAATTCCGAGCGCACAAGTTGCTTGTGTGTCCTTAAGGAATTTAATCTCATCACTGTTGCCCAAGGTTATGAATTACTTCCTCCCATGATAGAACGGAAAAACTATTCTGTAATACTGGCAATCGAAATTACAGAACTTTAGCGAAATCAACAAACGGAGTAAATCACACTTGATACTATATTTATTTGGAAAAATAATGCAACAATGTAGAAAAGAGGGAAGACGTTTTCAGATTTTCCATCA